TAAAATATTCGTCCTTAATATGGCATACGTTTGTGAACTAAAGCGGACTATATATTATAGTTATAAGCTCCTTCGACGTTTCGAACACACGTCGCGAGAGACATTTAAAAAGTCTCGATAATAAATTTCCACTTTTGAAATGTTTTTCGCATTTTCAATTTTTACCGATCGGTCTAGCGAAAAAAATTTGAAAATTTGAAAATTTGAAAATTCGTAATAATTCAGTATTAATATCCTGTCAAAAATAAGACATATTTGTAAAGAATGTCTGTTGCGCAATGCTATCAATATCGATAAATAACATCGAGGTTTATATTGGCAAATGACACAATGATTAGAAGCAGCAAAAAATAACCATCTCATAAGGCTTAGTCAATGTCAAAGTTTACGAGTGAATAACGATTGCCTATGTATACGTGCGAACTATGTAAACCATCTCTTCACCCGTAAATGCTATAGACAATGCGCGATTCACGTAGTCAACAACGCTAATAATATCCACGCTTCCTGAGGCCGAGCTTTCTTTTTTGTCGAAGAAACCGGGTGTTATTCATAATTCTTTGGCATTACATCGTTCCGTCGGTACAAGGTGTCTGATAATCGGTGATACAAACGTTAAACGAGCGATACACCTCGTTACATGATTCCAATGTGACAATTTGCAAGTATAATTTTTTCTCTCCCCAAAAGCAACTCTGTATTATAATTTCCAATCAATTATCACACGCGACTCGAATTGCAATTCGAATACGGAATTTTCAGCCGGACGAAGACTGCGAGAGCTTGACTCGAACAGGGTGACAAATTGATGTTACTTTCAATAATTAACGTTACCAAGTACGGGGCGACCTCTCTCCAAATCCTTTGGGGAGGGCTCAACCTCAGATTCTTCAAGAGATTTCTATCTAAGGGAGAAAAAGAGACAGACAGAGAGAGAGAGAGAGCGTGACTCCTCAGGCACCCTTCCCGAATTCCATCGTGCCCCAAACTCGCTCGGGAACCGAAGAAGAACTATGGCACTGGGCGTGTACGCACCTTTTCCCGGACACCTTGTTACATGCACGCACGCGGTAACACCAAGATCGAGCGCGTCCGGTCGTCGACGATCCGGACGTCGTTTCCAAGACGGTGGATACGAAATGGAGGATTCGAATCTCGATCACCGTTCAATCGGTCGCGGAATCGAGCTCGCAGTCACGGACGGCAAAGCCGGGGAAAAGCAATTTACCTGGCGGACGTCGCACGCGCGCGGCGTCGTCGTCTCTAATCCACGGGGCCGGTCGGGACGATCGATCGATCTCTTTTTCTCTCTCGTAGTGGGTCGACGCTGCGAGGAAGGGCCCGGCCTCGCGGGGAAGGTCGGCGGCCGACGCGACTCCGTGCTCGTCGGGAGTGCACGAGCGTACTGACGTCTTGTCTTTACTCCGACGCTGCGCTCTCTCGCGTTCCTCCGCGGTCCTCGCTTATCCCGGCTCGATGATTGGTAGAGAGAGAGAGAGAGAGAGAGAGAACGTGAGAGAGAAAAAGGTCGGGTGGGAGTGCACGGTACACGCGTGCGTGCGTGCATGCGTGTGTGGGTGGGTGCGAGTAGACGCGCGCGTGTCGCGTATAAACGTCGTCGCGCTAAAGACAGAGCCTGAGCCGGGCGGACGCACAAGGGAGAGACCGTAAGAGAGAGGGAGGGAGGGAGGGAAAATGCGCGGGTGGTAAACCTCGAGCGGCGGCACCGGATGTATGCGTGCACCAACACACGCGGCACTTGAGCCACTGCCGACGCAGGCGCTTTTACGCGACGACCCGCCGCGGTCGAGAGCCACCACGAGAGGCTCGCAACCGCACGGGTGTCGGCATCTGGCGTCTCGCCCACGAGGTCGTTCGTGCGAATCGATCGCACGCGAGCCGCAGGTGTTTCGATTAACAACTCGATAAAAACAAATACAGAGGTGTATATTTTGCGATAACGCTCTTCTTCCGCACCTTTTCTCGTCTTCGAGCGCGAAGGTGCCACGAGATGGGCAGTGTTCGTGATTATTTATTTATTTATTGCGAGATTTTGAAATCGTAGAGAGTATTCCTCTTTTTTTCTTTAAATATGTGTTTTGGAAAAAATTTTGGTTGTGATTTTGTGAATTTTATAATTCGTAATCTTCGTTTTAAAAAAAAAATATGAATTTAAGATGGATTTAGGAATAAGTTTTTCATGAAGATTTTTACAGGAAGGTACTTAAAATACTGTAAATCTATTTTGAACGTTCTCAAGTTAGAATTTCAGAATGTGTATAATTATTTCGTATAATTATCTTCGGATGATTCTAAATCCCTCAGAATTCCAAAATTATTCAAACATCGATAATTACACTTTGACCTCTCAAATAGACGCAAACTTTCGGGCATCCTAAAATTCAATAATTAAATTTATCTCGGTCCATATATCAAATGTATTCCCCTCCTTTCATCTTCATCAAGATATCGTGTCGTATATTCTTTCAAATTAATTAAAACTTACATAAAGAAAATCTCAGATCTTTTTAAAAATAACATTTACCACATAACTTCATCAAATAACTCAAGTGAGAAAGCCGCGATTTTTTTCTTAAACAATCTTCATATCTTTTTTTATTATCCAATAATGGAAGAACAAAATAGACGTTGCGTAAAGGGGAAAAACCGAGGGTGGCTGTGTATTTATTGCATTATACAGTGCCGATACTCACCACCACGTGGGCCGCAATTCCTCCTTCTAACGGCACTCGTCGCAATTTATACGAGAATCACGCACGCGCTTACAAAACCGACATACGTAATCGTACGCGCATTAAAGAGCCGCCGCGATGATCTCACCGCTGACAACACGCGAGCCGACCCGCTAAAAAAGAAGCGGCCGACGTTCACGTTTTAGCACTTTGCGCTTTTTCTCCCGCGTGCCTTGCACGTAAGAAAATTACACTCGCGATAGCGCTACACCGCGGATCGCCGCGCGATTCGCCTAATCGAACGTCTGCGGCACTCGAGCATTATCGCACTACCGTCTCGAGGCGTTCGTAATCATGTCGTAATCTTATCGTCACGTAGTAATGCGATAACTGTCGAAGGCGTACGCGCGATTTTGTTGCCAAATTGTCAGCGATCGGCCGCCAACATGTTATTTTACAGTCACGCGCCACACAAAATTTGCGCGCTCGGCGTGATCCTGAAAGGTCCGAATCGTAAACTATAAATCTTAAATATTTTGAAAAAAAAATCTTGCTTCGTCTCACCTGAACACGTATCTCCGTGGAATTTCACATACTCGGGACGGTTAACGAGGAATATCCAATTATAATGAGACAGTCAAAGTCACACGAATATGTTTAATTCCTGGGAGACGATGTGTCATTCCTAGACTTATCTCGGCATTGTTATCCGCCCACGCACGTCTTTTCTTCTAATAGCCGGCTACTTATCTCGCGGGGCGATTGTTATCGCGTTTGATCCGGTTAAACGACGGCGCTCGCTCGCTCACTCGGGAATATCTAAGAACATCTACGATGTTGGCCGCGATCGGCGCGCGGAGATGCTGCGAGACAGGTGCGCCCGGAAGATAAACGAGCGACCGGAGCGTGACGGTAAAATTCCGCGAGAAATTATAATCGGGGGTGATGTGAGCGGAAAACGGTGCGATAGGTAAGCTTGATAGAGCTCGACGCGCGACCTGAATCAGTCATTACGCGCGAGTTAAAATTGAATTTAGCGGGAATTGAAAATGCGCCCTCCCCTCCCCCGGTAAAAATTACAAGTCTGATTCGACACAAACTAAATTCATTTCGCGGTGCACAAATAAAATTTGAATTTAATGCGGCTTTAAATTAAATCCACAAAATGAGATGCGAGAGATATTGCAGTAGGTCGGAGAAGAAAGAGAGAGGGACTGCTATTGGAGTGGGCATAATTCCTAAAGTGCCGTGCTGGTTTTTCTCACGTGGAATATATTTAAGCGGAAAAATGTCAGGTTGAAAGATATCATGTCTAAAAATATTTCGCGCATATTAATGCATACTTTATATGACTATGAATTTATCAAAATCCATTTTTAGAGACTATTAAATCACACGAAGCTCAACTTAGACGAAAATATTCATCCTTATCTCCTCGAAGTATTTCCGGAAGCACTAACAAAATGATAAGTTATTTAGCGATCCCGCAAAATGTTGATATTTTATGCCACCTACCTCATGCATCTTTTATTGCAGATTAACAAAGAAAAAGAGAACGAATCACTCATGACTCCGCGTCTTGTGCAAGGATTTCCGACGCGAATGGACGTGTTGCAAAACCGTGCATCTTGCATCCGTCGTCGCGCCGGTATCCTGTTACATTTAACGACGAACATCTGTCGAATCGAAGCAGCGGGGGTGGAAATGCGGCCGCTGCCATCGCCGTCGAGGAGTATTTTATATGCGGCGTGATTTCGCGCTGTGTTGTCGATTTTAACGAGTCGATTCGATATTTACGACGCCGATTTCCGCGCGATCTGGCAGACTCACGGTACCACACGCACCCGCATCGCCGCGTTATTTCGGTGTCGGGTGCGCTGGATGACGTCACGCAACGCTACACCACGCCACGCACGTGCGTGGGCAGCCGCGCGTTTGAGGATGCGATTTACGGATCGCAGTCGCGATTCGGCCCTACGATAATCGGCTTCCGCGATTCAAATCTCCGAGACGCAAATTTACGAGTCCTTGTCCAAGATGTGCTTCACATGCTCACGAAAAACTAACACGTGTAAGCGCGTCGAGACGAATTTTCTCTCCTCCACCTTCGAATTTGTCGAAGTGAACGAGGAGCAAAATCATCATGTAATAATCGCATCACATCGTAAATTAAATCGACACGATAAATACGTCGTGCGCGTAGTGCAAAAAAAGAAATATGTTCCTTGAAGTATCAATTTCAACGAGAGAGAGATTTAAGAGATAGGATTTCAACGACTAACTTAGCGTTAAAAGATCGTTACTTACTCAGTATCAGGCACGGGTATCATAGGAGGAGGTAGGCGGCCGTTGTGGTCCAGGAAATGATTGATCTCGGGTTCCTCTTGTACCGGAGTTTCGTACACGAGGGTTTCTACCATCGACCCTTTGCTAGAGCCGAAGGATACCCTGGAAACATAAAGAATTATAAAATATAAATAAAAAATATGTAAAATCTATCAAGACCAGGTGTCTCGCTCTCGCTCTCTCTCTCTCTCTCTCTCTCTCTCTCTCTCTCTGTCTGTCTCTCGATATAGTTAAATAAAACAATGTGTTTAGGTAAATACAGTCTGTCTAATATAAGAGCATGACCGACATAATTTTTTAACTATTTATTATAAAAAACCATCTTCTTGGTACTCGAATTCTCCGTAAGATACACCGAAGCGAATTGGATCACAGGTAGAATCGGATCAATATAAGCTTTGAGACAGTTGTTAGTTTTTTCGTTTCAAACGTTTTATCGTGCCCGTTACCTCCGTGCGCTTCCTCCGCATTCACTTGAAATAAGAAACTAACGATAACTGTCTCAAAACTTATATTGATCCGATTCGCCATGTGATCCAATTCGCCTTGGTCTACCCTGTACTCCGGTATTAAATACATCGTTCTTTAGCAAAAGTCGGACAATGACTGAGACACTCTGTATAATGCGTCATAGAAGAACTTCTATCTACTCGTTCAAAAATGTTTATAACGGTTTTTCCTAACGGTTTTCAAACAAAAGTTTGCCCGGTCACTCTCTTATTAGACAGACTATAAATCTATAAATAAGTGGCTAACTCTGAACAATTGTATAAATTACTAATCAAACGACTAGGACAAAAACTATAGAATCGAGAAGATCAGCGTCTCCCCTCGCGTAATTTTACAACCGACGTCGCGCAGCTAAACGTTGTCGTTATTTACTTCTGGAACATCCTATATTCGGTGCGCACTTCGGTGGAACAACAGGTCAGACGTCTAGTCGAACGCGAAAAATGCACATCGTAAACCTCAGTTTCCTATCGCGTGACACCCAACGACCGCAGGGGGCGATATCGAAATCAAAACGCCGCGATCGTGGCGTTGGATTACGATCGGGCGCGATCGAGCATGATCGAGATCGAGCCGTCCCGCACGTCGCAGTACATACGGTACTCATTTACTCGCCGGAAGCTGCTCCTCGAACCAGAAGAAATACCCGACGACTTCGTCCAACAGACGTCAGCTGCGCCCATGAGCTGCATTTTGCATATTTATACTGTGCGGCTCCGGTAAGGTAATTTCGTCTACGAATTCTTTAATCGATTTTACGAGCAAAGTTAGTTACAGCTCGCTGCTACTAACATTGCAACGAAGACGTTAACGATCTCGTGAACGATCGTCATGTCGGATTTTGGGTTGCAGCTGCAAATGATTGTGCAATGAAACGAAACAGAGCCGCAAGAAGATTAAACGCTGACAAAGAGATCAGAGAACATTTTATATTATTAAAATACAATTTTATATCGACGCATATTTTGATTACTTTTGGAAAAGCTTTTCCCTCATCGTTTTCACGATTAAATGATTAGTTATAGCGAAAATTTCTTCCCATTTCAATGCGAAATCAAGTTCACGAAATTTATTATTTTATATTATAAAATATATTATATTATATTACAAAATATGTTATAAAGTATAAAAATAAGACTTAAGAAAAGTAAATAGTTCCTCCAACAATTCATAGTTTACTTATAATCCGCACAGGACATATTATATACAGTTTATATTGTTTACGCGTCCCTATTAAGAAAAACTAGGTGAGAATCCATACAGGAAATCCATATGAAATCCCATACTTGCCTCTGAGGATTTGCGCCCAAAAACTCAGATCTTATCCAATCCATGTGGATTCTTATATGGACTTCCACATACCGTATGAGTTCTTATATGGATTTTTATTATCCTATGGGTTCATATGAGTTTTATTGAATTTTCGTTGGAATTCATTTAAAAATTTTCAACGGGAATAAAATATTATATTTTATACGTAGACGCACAACCTTCCTCTTAGGTATTGATACTCAATACGAATAATGCGAGAAATTGAAACGGGAATGGAGTGCGAGCGCGAGTTTTATCGATACTTTGTGGACAGATATCGCACGGTAACGGCTAGCACGATTTACTCGAAGCATTCGTGCTAATAAGACAGAAAATGGCATTAGCAGATCACGCGCAGAATGGCACGACGCGGCACAGCCACGGAACCGGTTTTCGCGCAGCGACGCGTGCAGCCGACGTTTCGCGTTCGCTAATGCACTCGCGTACGCGGCTTATTATTCATAGCTGCAACAGAGTTAATCTCGCGGCCGGATAAGTTTAATCGATGCGGTTCGCTGGGTGCGCGCCGGGGAATCAATTAAGTCACGACGTCGCGAAAAAGATCGATAAGCCAGCCGATTTTATCGCGTGGATGATAACGAATCGGTTTTCTTCTGTCGCTTATCGGGCGTGATGTTGCGGCAACATAGACTCTATCTTCTTCAATTCTCATTACGTTCTTTCGTGTATTCGTTTTTCTTCTACTCTGCTTTATCTTTCTCTTTTGAAGACGTAATCACGCGTTTGTACCGTTTTATACGCGAGAGAAACTTGCAAGAGCGTAACTGATAAGAGCCTGAGATATGGACTACCACGAGCTGCACAGGCAACAAACGCTGGTTCTGGTCTGCGCTAAAGTGGGTTGCAGGAAAGTGCTGCCGCACGCGGCCGTGCCCGTCAACCGGACACCGGAATATGTCAAAGTCACGTGGACGTTCAGGTGGTAGAATGACAGATACATCTGTGTGCTCCCATGTATTTGCTGCACTTGGAGTGGTAAAGTACAGTAATATACGGTAAAGAAACATACGCCTAAATGCGGAAAATGTGCAAATGATACACGTGATACAAGATCAATGTTTAAATGGTAAAAACGATACAAACGGAAAAAAATGTAATCTTACATCGTTCCGATGTAAACGATATCTTTAACGATAGTAAAAATCATATTTTATTAAATTACTACGGGAACGGTTTGAATGTATATAATTTTTTCGAAGGTTTCAAACTTCGACACGAAAAAAATGATAATTTTGCGATTATTCGCACGTTTTGATCTCTTTGTCGGCGTTTAGTACTCTTACGACTCCGTTTCGTTTCATTGCACAATCTTTTTATGGCTGCAGCGCAAGGTCCGGCACGACACCTGAGCTAGATTAAAGGTTGGGATGGGTCGGGGTCGAGGTCGGCCGACTGGCAGCCTCCGATCGATCCGATTTGACCTCAGAATTTGCTTTGATCCACGAAAGCCGCGAGGACGAAAGCATTGTCCGCCTTGTAAAGACGACACCCCTCGTTTCCTATTTTATTCTCCGCAATGGTAACAGCGACCACAACCATCTAAGTTAGTGTCTTCCTTTTCCTTTGGTAGTACATCTCCGAACTACCAGACTTCGATTTACAAAAAATACCGCTTATAATAAAAATTTATATTTTTTTATCTTTCACTTTAACGTATATATTTTTCAATAACATATACGTTAAATTTATTGACTTTAGACTCTGTAAATAGTTGAAACAACTGTAAATTCAGCAAAGATCAAATTTAAATCAACCGAACGTGTATATTATAAGAAGACGTTTCATTCCAACTGAATATCGTTCGCTATCGATTGGTCGTGCTTTTTTTAAGGACAGGTGGATTCGTTGTCGATTTAAGAATTCATAGGCGGTTGTAGGAGTAATAACGAGCATCTTTCGAGATGCCTTGTATATCCGAAGAAAATTTTTTTCAGAGTGTCTATTTTTGCTCGATTGTAGAAAAGTTGCTGCACGGGACTGCGATAATTTTACTCTCACGGCTTGTGAAGTATCGAACGCAGCGAACCACAGCGGCAGTCGATTAGCGAGGGTATAGTCTGGGGCTTTGCTGGAATCGATTACGGAATCCCACGCTTCTTGTTTGCTATAGAAAACACTTTGCGTCCATTTCAAGTCCTTCGCGCTTTGACATGTGTTAACGGTTTGACTATTTCATCTCTCCAGAAAGATCGCACCGTTAACTATTTTTGTACACTCACTGTCTTAATGATCAATTGAGAGAAAAAAGCGAATCAAATTTCGTAAAACATTCCCGGAATAAACATCGCGGATGGAGCAGAAGATGCGAAGTACTTCGAGGATTAAGCCGGGAAAAATTCCGGTGCACGCGCGGCACTTATTGCTCGCTGATACACTTACAAAAATAGACGCCAAATACGCAACAGTGTTTTCTAAGTACGCAACAGCCTTTTGGCAACGGCTCAGGTCATACAGTTCCTTTCTAGAGTGATTCAAATTCGTCGCAGCTGGTACTATTGCGAACACGGCGCAAATAAACGCCGTTCTTTTCCTCGAATACTCGTTAAGGAGATATTAACCGTTTTCGGTGTTACGATCTGCATTAAGTACTTTAACGCACGCTTCGTGAATCATTGCCGAGAAACGTTCAGAACTCGCTCTATTTCCTAATTTTCCGAGCGAAAATGCAAGGACAACTCGTATGACGATCTTTGAAATCACTAAAAACTCGTTCGCAGTAACACCATCAAATTTGTTTCCAGCTATTTTAAATATTCTAAAAGGATCCGCGCGCAGTCGAGTAATTAGCATCGCGGCGACAAGGCTGCCACTTGAATTCCATTCTCATCGGTATGGCGATGAGACCGCAACAAATGCGTATTCTCGAAAGACTCGACAGAGTTATTATTTTTCTCACGAGGCTTTAAAAGATATGAAACAACGGATCCAATTTCGTATCTCATAACAGAATTTTTAGGAAATATAAAAAGAAAACTACAATAATTAAACGACTGATATTGCTCGTCAAAATTAATCGGAAAATAATTATTCTATTATTAAATTTTAAATATTATTTTGAATATTAAATTAAATAATTATAATTCAAATGAAATTGAATCAAACTCGTTAATTTTAGCAGCTCGAATAAAAATGAGCTTCTATTCCTTTTTCGTTGGACAAATGGAAGAAGAGACGCAAGAGGTAAGCCGCGATTATTACCATTCAGTTCTGGTATACCGCGACTGTGACCACGAAATCGAGGAGGTGAAGAAACGCACGCTGGAAATCTTCCTAGTTCGCGTTGTTTCACATTAGTTTCGTACTTAGTCACCTCGCGTTATCCCGTGTCTCTTGTCAAGATTATTAAGTGCGCTCGGGAAAGACGATGTCCCAGTACGTCCGAGCGAAGACCTCGCTCGACGCATCAAGACGTCCCGTCGAAGAAGTTGGCGATGCTGACCCTGACCTATCCCACGTGCAAATGTCGTAAAAGTCTCGTATGGGCTGCGAAAGTCAGCTTATAAGACCGATACACAGTGACGTGTTCTCTCTTCCTCACTCTCTCTCACCCTCGCTACATCATGCTCTCGCGAGAGAGGCGTTTACGCGGCATGTATAAAACCCGACGAACTCGTGCTTGTACTTGCGAGGTGGGTAATTGCGGGTCTTCGACGGCGGGGACGAGCCGCATTCATCGGCATCGCGAAGAACCTGCTCCAAGAGAGAGAGAGAGAGAGAGAGAACATGTTGTTCGATCTCGCGAAACTTTCTCGACGCTCCGGGAGAAACGATAACAATAGCTGGTGCTCCCTCCTTCTTGACTCCAAAGAACCGTTACATTTTTACGGAGTTTCAACACGATGACATGTCGAATGAACAATGTTTCGAAAGAAATCGCAACACGTCGAATAACGTATCCCAACCGATTTTCATCACTTGAATTCGCGCCTTAAGATTAGTGAATAAAGAAAAAACCGGAATCTACTTCTACATCTACTTCTTCGTTGTTTTTTCTCTCCTCCGTATATTCGCGATTTTCATACTCTCGGCGATCTTACGGAACGTGATGTTTGCAAACATATATATTGAAGGCTTGCTGAAGTTCGTCGGATTATCGGTGTTTTCATCGACTCACAAGATGAGTCATTTTACACACGCAGACTCGAATTGACAGATACATGTGTCATGAATTGCATTTATTTATCTCTGGCTATTCGAACTTTAGTTGTGTTTTGAAACAATCAATGGAAATCAGCATGACGCGGCCCAATGTGTTATTAATAATAAGATCCTCATACATTGGGGACCCATTTAGTTGACTCAAACTAAATTCTTGTTTGAATATGGGTAAATAAATATTTTGATTGTGAAAACCATAATTTGATTTTCTACACCAAAGATTTGTTTTTCAAAAGTAACAATGAAAAAAATTTGGTTCAGTAAACCAAATTTTGGTTCTTATAACCAAAATATTTTTTTGCTCATGTCTAAAAAAGAATTTAATTTAAGTAAATTAAATAGATTTATCACACGAAAAAAAAGATTAGCTAAATTGGTTGTAACATATGGACACCTAAAACTAGCAGCGTAAGCAATTTTAATTGCTGAAGCAGCAAACGTGCTATCGTAAATGTCATTTACGATAATATATTTGCTACGGCAGCAAAAGAATTTGCTATCGCAGCAATTAAAATTGCTTACACGGAAAAAAATTAGTCTTATATCAATAGATATTCTCAAATATAAGCAAGAATATCATAATCTTCCTAGGAGACTTTTAGTCTTGATCCGGTTGAATTTATATTGATGCAAGTATTACTTGTACTCAATTCAAAACTAAAAATCTTTTAAGAAGTTTCATAATATTTTTGCTTACACATAAGAATATCTATTCTTGATTTAAGAATAATTTTCTCCATATACGCTATAATTAATTTAGCTATTGAAGTTAATCTTTTCTTCCCGTGCAATATAAACAAAAGATCGGACTCGTTATTCGTGGGGAATCTTTTAGATTATTTTGCAAGAAAATTTGAATTATAAATTCATATATATGGTACAAGATCTGTGCTTTGGCTCTTGATGGCTTAATATTTAATAAGTTTCTTAATAATAAGAAATATACTTAAAAATCCGACAAAACTTCGCTCAAACTTTTGATACGCTATATCTATACAGCATCAAGGAACATTTCTCATCAAACTTACCTCTTCAGGCTGGCATGCTTCGCGCCGTTTAGGATCTTATTTTTGCGCTCGCTGCCGGCGGTGCTTGCATCGCTGTCGATGCTATAGAGGCTGTCGTCCTTGGTGACCCTAGCGTTGTGTAGGGTCGACTTCCTCGCAGCGGTGCCGTTGTGCTTCGGGCTCTCGATCGGCCGAGAGTCCCGCTGCGGTCCTGCCGTGTGAGGCGGCGGTGCGTGCCGCGGGTCGCCGCCCGCGTGATCCTCGATCCTGGTGGAGACGATCATCGCTCTAGTCGCGTCCGCGCACTTTCTGGGTGAGGCGCTGGTCACGGTGTTGCTTTTCTGCAGCTTGGCGACGCGATAATTGTTCTGACTGGGCTCTCCGGGCGGTGGCTTGTCTTCCGTTGGTAGCATGTACGACAACATCGTCCCTCTTGCCTTCACCTGGAACACGGAGGCGGAAATTCAGCGCGACCGCCGCGTCAGGGCGGGGGGCACGGGGGGGAGCAGTCGTTGTTAACCGGTAGCGCGACGGCGAGAAAAATAAGTAGCGATACAAAAGAGATCAATCGAGTGTCGTCGGAAGCGCGGAAAAAGCGTACCGTTCATGGCAAGAAGAACACGACCGAGAGCTGGTTGACTGATGCTTCAAGAGATATGTTTAGAGGTTAATAACATCACACGGGGATAATAAGTTACGGAAACACATAAAACTCATGTTAACATAAATTACATCCAGGGAAGAGTGTCGAATCAAATAATTTCCCAGGGTGATTCTCTCTCACAAACGCGTAACTCGTATTAAGGAAAATAAAAGTCGCAACATATTAAAGATTCTACATTCCGCCTGGTCGAGTAAGAGTAAACGACGCGAAATTTTCAGCTTCGGTCGCGTATGTTTCAATTCTCACACCTTTCGCGTTTTAATCTTCGCGTAATCCGCGATAAATCGTGGAAAGATAATGTCGTGCGAGAAACCCATTGAAAAATATAGAGAGAAAGAGAGGCGGTTGGTTTCACTGAGTCGGCGACGAGGAACAGCGGACAATAGGGAGCATTGTTCCTGGAGCATTAAAAGGATTAAGCCGACGCGCATAGTTCGATATCTGGCGACGGTTGTTTTGCGATTTTGCGCGCATCGCGGCGCCTATAGTCCCCCGGCGACGGGGAATAACTATTATTAGCACGATAAGCCAGCTGTCTCCTGTCAAACCGGAGTATTCCTGCCGCCGCGAGAGACTTTCCCGGACGCGCGACATCATCATCATCGTCGTCGTCGTCGTTGTCATCATCACCGGCGAGTAACTGTATCAGATCCGCCCGTCGGCACGCCGCAACGGCGTTACGCAAACAGCCGCGATCAATCGGAACGAGAACGCTCGGACGAAACGATCTGCTTTAAATGCGTTTACACAGTCACTGACTGACATAGACCGCGACGTTGTATCTATCTTTAGGCGCCGCTACGTCTTTGACAATAAAGCCCGCACGCGCTCGTGCGATATCCGATGTGGGGAAAAAAAAGAGAGAGAGAAACGGCGAGCATGCTGCGGAACGTCGAATGAACGGGATGAATCTCCGCGGCCGAGGCGCGCTTCTCTAACGAGACGCTCGTAAATGAAGACGATGAGGCGAGAAGACAGGGGAATACTGCAGCCGGTCAATGTACATAAAACGTGGAAGTTGAACGAGCACGGGGAACGTTGGAGTATACAACTTGGGCTTTGATGAATGGAGAACGTTTGGGGAACAGGTGATGCCGATGACTCCGCCGCAGATCTGAACGGGAGTACCGGGAACTCGCGATTGAGACGCGAAGAATTCGCAAACGGAGATTTCGCAGCAGGGAAAATCGCGAGCATTAATCGTGATATATATTAAATTTGACAAAGTACGTTCATGATGGAATATATATATAGCGTCGGACGTAAAGAAGAAAAAAAGATTGCTAATCTCGCTTAAATTATAGTTATTTCCGGCACCAACCGTATCTTTACTGTTCTAACAAAAAGGAATCATAGCGATATGCAGGTTAATATCATTAGCATATATTAGGAATTATTACAACGATGGTTTACCCGACTATAATTATTTCACTGCGCGCTTACAACACAACTATTGCAAATACCGGACATTTTTCCCTCCAGACGAATGATTCCGACGGAATGATCTCTGATAAAGACGAGATGACGATAACGACGACAATGACGACGATAAAAGCTAAATCAATGGCGAATAGAATCGATATACGTAACGCCGTCGAGATAAAAAATGCGGCTGAAACGACGGTTGAAAATTAGTCGTCGGAAAATCCGCCGTGTGAAGATCGAAAACCGCGAGGAGCAATTCGCGAGAACTAATCGCCGAATCCACTCTACCGATTTCAATGTCGCCTTGTCTGCGCTATCGACTCACCGGTGTGCAAGTTCGCGTCCCGCGGCGTTTATCAGCTTCGGGAGCTTCACGCATCGACGAATCGTCGTCACGCGACTGCCTCTTCTTCGTTGTTAAGCTTGCAGTCGTCGTTCACGCTCAAACGCGCCCGGCGGCGTTCCCGTACGCGTGAGAAACCCGCGTGATTTTGCACGTCGGCTTCATTAGCGTGGTGCGCGCGGTCGCGAGCTTTATTCCACAATTCTGTTTTCGCGATTCGCCCGCCCGCTCGCTCGTACCGACGCTTGCGCCCTACTCGCTTAATGACTGCTTCGACCTCGTGATCGCGCTGCTTTTTGGCACGCGGTCGCGTCTGTGCAAAATTATTTTAGCGCATCAACCCTTGCCTCGACGAAAGAGACGGAGAAAGTCACTTCGTCGCAACTACTCGTTGCTCGATCGCTCAGATCGAGAGACGCTCAAGCGAAGTTATCGCGATAACTTCAAACAACCGAGGCTCGTTATCTCGCAACAACGAGAACGCGAACGAGATCGTCATTGACACTTCCGACGGGATTGCAAGTACTGTTACTTCCGGCGAGTGTCTCTCTTGAGCCACCTCCATCGGCGAGGATCGCGCGCGCGCGCGCGCGAGGAGGAGAGGAACGTTCGCCGGAGTAGAACGCCGGGCCGCAACTGAGCGGCGCAAAAGCGAGGCAAAGGTTACAGATACGGCCGACTATAGCTATACCTACTCTACTCCGCTCTAGCCAGCCGCCTCTCGGTTCCGTTCCAGACGTTCTCCGGCGAACCGGCAGGCGCGTTTTATGCAGCCGTCGAAGCCGCGGCTCCACGTATGTGTATCAATTCGGAGGTAGTATCGTCCTCTTGAGGCAGCATGCATTTTGCAATGTGCATGTATACACATACACATAAATATGTACACACATCGAGCTTGCCATGCCCGGTCGACATTTCCTCTCTCGCGTCTCCCTGCGCAACGTCGGATTTCTACCCGCTTGAAATAGTGAATTTCCACTCGCCGCTACCACACGTCGGCGGATAGAGTAGCCGGTCGTTAATGTTGCATCGAGGCTCGAGCAAGGTTGCACAAGTTTTTACAGCCACGAGGCGCGCGAAAGCAGATCGAACTCCATAAAAAGTAGTAAATTGGGAAGCATCCGTGATTAGCGAGTGATCGCGTAATCAACCCGCGGAACATTTTTCTGAGCGTTTCCACGGTTGCCGCTGCCGTCGGAAAAGGTATTTCGCTTTTGTGCACTTCGTTTTCGTTGACCACGCGTCAAGGGCTGGAAGTTTTCTCTCTGTCTATTCTATTGAAATCTGATTCTATTGATCCTGATTCTATTGAAAAAAATTAGATAAAGTAGTAGAAAAGGTTAAGTCATCCTTATATCAAATTGAGTTAATCGACTGTTAATTAAATCTCGATAAGATAGCGGGAGAAATGTAATAATTTTCAACGGCTTATCGGCATCGTGCGGAATATTCCGAAGCTAAATGAGGACCACTATAAGCATGCAGCAGGTGTATTTATGATCATTACCGCCGCGGAAAGAAAATGTTCTACCGGATTGATAAGATCGCCGCGAGAGGGTCTGCAAGTCACAATTTAGAATTAGGTCACCGAGATGTATCAGGTAGATCTTTTAAGATCGTTAGTATCCTACCGTTTATTAATAAAGATCGCATAAGCAATGAGATTCATTTTCTCTGAGTCTTACTCCGATTTTACTGAAATTGCATTTCGCGGAAACCAAGAATATCACGGAAGAAAATTAATAATTTCTTTCACACTTAGTTATTATCTATTTCTCTGACTATTATTTATTATTATTATATAGCAAGCATATTTATTATTATTATTATTATTATTATTTATTATTATTATATAGCAAGCATATTTATTTATTTAGAAGAATTTTTATTTAAAATATGAAAGATATCAAGGAGGGAAATTTAATCACTTCTCCGCAATTTTTATTACGATTTAGTATGGTTTTAAAAATTCGGAAAAATCTGTTTTTTCCCCATTTTTTTCGCGGATTTCTCCGGTTTCTTCTGTCTCAAAAGTATAAAAATTCGTTTCAAAAATTTCACGCGTGTTCGGTTAAAACCTGCCACATTTTTTTCGTAAAGAGGATAAAAAACTAAAAAAAAAAAAATCCGCGAAAAAATAAGGAGAAAAACGTTTTTTCTGCGAAACTTTAAAACTATATAATTTCCGGTATTTATTGCCACCAACATAATTATTTATTGAAATATTAATTGGAAATGTTAAAAAATATTTATATACTCATTTAGAAATATTTAGAAACAATTTTTTTATAAATAATTACTACGATCGTAATAATTACTATGAATATTCTTTAACAATGTGGGATTAAGCCAAGCTCGTATCGGGAGAATACTGCCTTGTGGAGGAATGTTACTTCGAGCTACACCCTAATCCGAGCGGTTTCGCCGATTTGCGACATTTCTCGAGGTCTTCCGCGGAACCGAAACGCTCGATCGCTTCGCGCGTGCAGCTAAACTGCAGGTGCATTCGTCGTGGCGAGCGCCGCCGGTACCGCGACGGCCGGCCGGTCGTGGTAGTCATTCAACCTGCTCCTTTCCCATGCGAACCCCCGCCTAGTTTAAAGAGCCCCGAGCCCTTCCGTGCGTGAAGAATTTCACGGCTGAATCGGCTCCCATCCGCTCCCGTTACGCGGGCTTTACGAACACCGGAACGAACTCGATTTTCCTTCGGCAAATCACGGTCACGGATATTTCGAAACGACGCATTTCCAAGATGCTCGAAGCAAGTTAACCCCTTTAACCGACATCGGCCGCCGCTTTTCACGATATATCGAATAACATGTGGATCTCACGAGTTTTGTCAAGAGTAATTACAACTTGCTCCCCCTCTTCCAAAGATGTGAAAATTATTATACTGTAGCGAATGTGGGCTTCACCACCGTGAAAAATTAAAATTTGCTAATTTTCGATCTTAAATTGTATGTTGTTGTATGAAAGGAAATTAGGCGCGATATGTGTGTGATGAGATCTTTATCTTATTATTATGGAGGAAATGCACAAATATTCAAGCATAAAACGTACTCACGTTCGCGCCAAGGAATACTCGCGGCCAGGATGTCCACAGTGTTCTCCTCTTGACGGAGTAGCATCGGGACTACCTGAAACAGAGATTTGCGTATCGGTTAGATCGAGTGGGTCTTACGTGTTTATACAAAATTAAATACTGTGTGCAAATAAAGGTAAATAAATAGTGCGATATAAATAAATAGGTAAATTTGTCGCATTATCTGTCATGCTATCGTTATGAAGTAACGTCGTGACATTTGTCTCGCGAGCATCGAAGCCGCGAGACGATCTCAAGAAAGACCGATTTGAGGTGATATCTCGAGGATCTTCAAGCTCACGCCGCACAACTACCGGCTCATTCGAGGTCCTAACTGTGAATACCGTCCGTGGTGTAGGCACTTCGAGTAGCACAAAGAGTTAGATACTGGTCTAGGAACGGCGGAGCAGGCGTCCTCTAAACAGCCTATTACTCGAGAATGAAGAGGACGTGCGCGGAGCAACGGCTTCTTTTTTCTCTTGTGGCGGCGGGGAAAAGTGAGGGAAACGACGGGAGGAAACGATCTCGTCTTTCGCTTGAATGGGCACCTGTTTTCGCGGGGACAGGTGACATCACGCACACGCGGTGGTATATACGGTATAAACGGGCGTGGGAATCAGAGGACGGGTCGAGGGCAATGACTTCTCGAACGAGCCGACGTGCGCCGAGATAGACGTAACGAGAGACTCGCCCTGGAGAGACGCCTCCGCTTCACCGGGGGGAAAAATCGGCTCGCGTGAGCGTCGTGAAAATGGATTTTCGCGAGATGGATTCACCGGCTGTTTGCACTGCCGACAATGAGGCCGATATGTGTGAATTGCGGTTCATTGCAGTTAATTGTAATCGCGGTGTGCACTCGTCGGAATGTCGATTAAAAAGGGTAAATTAGCCTTGTTTGAGTTTGTAAACGGTGTATTCCACGTAGATTAATACAAAAGAGATGTTTCAATATTCGATTTTTTACAATATTTCTAAAAGAGATCAAATTTTTAACAATGTTTCTGAAAAGAACTCTAACGGGAAAAATGATTGTATCGAATCTAAAAGAATAATTTTAAGAAATTTAGTATAAGTAGAGAAAAAAATTAATTACTTGTGCAGAACGATGACAGAATTTGGTTTATTGTTTTTGTTAATTCATTATTAGTAGAAATTCATTTTTATATATAGTGACCTGCAGAAATATTTAAAAAGAGATACTATAATTTAAGAGAGACGCTTCAGGTATTTTCGTCTGATCACGAGTTGTACACACAATAACTCTAATATGATTACGTGAAATACAATATTGATAGATAAATCTATTTTGATATCGCTCTCTCTGGTAAGTGCAATAGTTCGATAAGCGCAGCGTAAAGTAAGACTCTACGTGAGGCAATATCTCGAAGGCCGCACGCGTGATAAGAAAACTATACAACGCGGGGCCCCACTTGGATCGCCCTGGTGCATCGGAGGATTAAAAAAAAACCTGGCTTATCCGTTCGACTACACGGCGGCCGGGTAATCGCCCTGATTGCACTTATCATCTGTCTGAGTCACTCCGTTTTGCCGCCGACAAGGTCGTACAAAGGCAAACGCGCGATCACGTTTTTATTCACACGACGAGTCGCCCTACTTCAGCTATCGTTCATTGATCCCCCGGAAAAGAGGATATCGGGAGGCTTAAAGTATGAAATCAAGTTTAACTTTAACGGATTGGAAAAAATCTGGAGTTTTTCAAATTTTCCGCGATTTTTGGGGGTTTCTTTATATAGATAAATCAAAAGAATTGGAAAAAATTGAATTCTTCAATTTGTCCACAAATTTTTTCGATTTCGTCCGAGTAAAAATTTGAAAAAAAAAACATTTTTTTTTAAATTATAAAACCAAGACTTTTTGAAGGACTAAATTTTCAAGAATATCGTCAGTATGTGTAATGATAAATAATGCTTCGAGAGATAAAGCAATCGCATATCATAAAATTCGATTCGAGTAAACAACAGATTGATGTTTCTCGCTTCATAAAGAAGTCCCACTGATTAATTCTCAATATAAATCGGACGTGCTAATAACGGTTATTAAAATATTAGCGCGGTACTTTGGCACATACGTTAATTTATTTGGTACATTTAAGTATGGGGACGCGACGACGAATTACGCGCAACGATGGCCGCCGGTTCCGCCACGATTACGACGCAATGATGCAATGCGCTTGAGTGCGCCGGGGCGCTAAATTGATAAATTTGCATGCCCCGCCGTTCTACGGCGTAGCACTCGTATACGGTGCATCCTCGTGCTACACGACCGAAACGGGCTGCGTGCCTCGAGAGAGAGAGCGGAATAAATCCAACCTCGAGTTCGCATAATGCAGACGAAGCACCGCAGGCGGCTCGCGCGATAAATCTGCGCTTTCGAGGACCCGAAATGTTAATACAATCGAGCGCATAAAACGGATACACATGGTGTACAACGTTGGTAAGAATATCGGTCGATTGCGAGGCGATTCTTGAATCTTTTGCTTCTCTAATTCAAAATTACTTCTGTATTTGTAAAACTCACGATCGAACGTGGAAGAATTTTCAAACAAAATAAGGGAAATATATAGGAAATCGAGAAATATTCGCAATGCTTCTTTTATTGTTCTTTTTGTAGAAAGGAAAGGGCTGGCTCGTCCAGAATTGATCCTCGTTTAGGATTAATTGTGACAATGTCACAAACGATATTCCGATACTGCGTTATCGCGGCGCGACAGGAATCTAGTGCACTCAAGCCGACGCGAATTTATTCCCGTGGGAACTAAAGGGCGTTAAAGTGAGTAATTTTTGGGACAATTATAGTTACGACGAATATAAGGCTTACGTATGCGAAATGATCGGCGAATGACATCATCGACTGCCATGTCCGCGACCAGAAACGTTTATTCGAATGTTCGCCACCAGGCGCGCTTCTCGTGTATTTTTATCGGGTGGAGAAATAGCGCGAACATATAACGCGGATATCACGATTATTGACGTGAACTTTAAGCCCCCCCCCCC